AAGCTAGATTTTTTAAAAAAAGGATTTAGAGCAGAACTGCCTGCCAACGATGAATTTCTTACATTTCTCCATGGCTGGGGTATATTTGGATTTTTCTAAAAATAAATTAATGGAAGGGGAGGAAGGCATGTGGAATGCTACCAGTTTTTATGAGTAAATTCACAAATTCACTATTAGGACTGTATTGAGTATACAAAAGACAGTGATGGAGTGCATCTAACAGGGGTTAGTAAGAATATATTTACACATATTAGTGCAAAGAATCTGTAAAAAGAGGAAATGAGAAAAAACTTGCTTATGTATCCAGATAACACATAAAGTAGCTACAACGTAGAAGAATGGCAGAAAAGACACTGAGAAACTCAAAGAGACAAAATTCAAGGAAGGAGCTAGCAACAAAAGATATGACCTTAGGTATCTGTACTAAAACACACAAAGTACAGGTAGCAAGCAAGGTGAGCTAGAAATTTCATTACATTGCTGAGTGTTTATTAAGAAAAGCAGGGGCAGTTAGGTGGCACAGTGGATAGAGCTCCAGCCTTGGAGTCAGGAAGACCTGAATTCAAATCTGACCTCAGAGACATAGCACTAGTTATATGACTCTGAGCAAGTCACTTAACACCAAGTGGCTCACCAAAAAAACCCCTCCCAAAACAAACAACCAACAACAAAAAAACACCCAGCAAAGTTAACACAGGTCAGAGACTTAATATAAAAATAACATATGGCCTTTTATTTATTTGGGATCAATTTCAACAATAAGGAAATAGGGATCATTTATTCTAGAATACATAATTAGAGCTCCTTTTGTACTCTTAAGCGAAAAACCTGTAATATTGTCTTATTTTCCCTAAGTTTTCTCAAGTGGACAGGTGGATCCACTATTTCACCCCCACTTTCAATGCCCATCATATCTATCTTTCAGAGAAAGATCGATAATTAGCAGAAAGCTTTATGATACATTACAACTTCCAGATCCAATTTAATATATATTTTTAAACCTTGAAAATTTTAAAACAAATTTAAATTTGGCCACATGGTCCACATATGAGGCTAACTGTTTGATTCCATAACACCAACAAAGAGTTAGGGAAAGGATTGATGCTGTCACCCTATTAGTTCAAGTTCAATGTTGAAATGAAGCAAAGTACTTCCAGTCATTGAGCAGCTAGCAAAAAGCTAAAAAGTTTAAAGTTCTGCTTAAACATAGCAAAGACAATCGATAATGATACAATGGCAACTGGCTTTTATAGAACTGGCCCTTGCCTCCATAAGGAAACATGTGTGTCAAGCAGGGGATGGTGTGGTCACTCAAGTGATCTTAAGACATCCACCAAGTCAGAGGCACATGGGTGAGGTTTTTTATTCCCTTAGTGATGCCAATTAGGGAAAACAAAGTCATGACAGATGGCCACCGTGGGGGAGAGGTATGAGAAACCCTGGTAGATTATGCTATAGTAAATTAAGCTAACCATTCACAAAAGGCTTCTTGGTAAATTGATATAACATAAAGAAGAGGTCAGAAACATTTTTAAAGTGAGGTTCCAAACTGGAATCCCACTATTCTCTGTTTTTTTTCTGAGGGCGTGGTAACCATGCATCGATTATTGCAAGCATGGGTAAAATGAAGATAGGATGGAACTGATTCTTGCCAGCAATAGGAAGATAAAAGGAGTAATTCCCACAACAGAAAAAGACATGGCAGCATATATGCCACAACAACTGGCCCCACTGAAATCTCTGGCATATATGCCAAAGGATGCTGACTGTGACATAGAATATTTTGTTAATGTTCAATAATCTCTGAAAGACAGGGTTTCCATAACATTTGGCACAACTATATTAAAGAGAAAAGGGAAGGGTTTGGTAGGTGTTGTTAATGACCTTGGCAGAGTCATTACTCAAGCTCTTTGGTGTCTTTGTGTCTAAGATCTTTGAAAATTCCTAACATGGCCTACAGATAATTCTCCAGAAACATACTCAACATAGGGATAGAAAAAGACCTACAAATCTGTGCATGAACACCAGACCCCTATAGCCCTACACTTCTACCATGAAGAATTCTCACCTAATTCTTTCATTCTCCTCATTCCAAGATAAACAGTTCTATAACAACAAATAATGGGTGAGGCTGTAGAGACAACAGTCCAGAGGTTCAGGCCCTCCCTGTTTTTAATCTGTTGCTTCCAAGTTCAAGAGTGGTTCAAGAGTAGGGGACAGGCTGGTGCTCTTATTAGGCCTACTGACACTATCAGCTGTCTTCTTGCCTGAAGACTCAACTATCCTTGCCTCCTTGATTATATTAATACATGTCAGTGGCATACTAACAACACTAGATTATTCCCAGTCTCCTATTTCTTTGGTTTTCACTCTTTTGGGGTGATGCATCCTCCCATGCATGTGATCACATCAGCATGGATGTTAATCTAAAGGGGTTGACTCATTTTTAAATATAAATTTATTAAGTACCTTCTCAGGCTTTGACTCCAAAATAATCCATTATATATGTATGATTTCTCTTCTAAGGAAAAAGCAATAACCAAAGCAAATAACCTCTAAGAAACAATCGATTATTAAAATTTTTTTAAAAATTAGACCTGTCATTTCCATCCGAGTAGAGATTACTAGGTTAAGGACCCTTGAAAGAATATGATCACACCACACTCTGGTTGTAATTGCTGCCAACTGAATATCAAACTTATGCCATCTGCTACAGGGAATGATTAATCTATCCTCTTACTTAAAAAGTCCCTATGAGTAGACATTTACTAACATAATATTCTTTTTTTAAATGTTCAAATTGTAACTTTAGCAAAAGTGAAGTTAAAAGGCACATAGCATTAAATAATGAGAAAGGCTGTCAGAGACTTTGTCAGTCTAGTGATGGAGGGAAAAAAATGGATCTTCAAAAGAATATCAATCGGGGCAGCTAGGTGGCACAGTGGATAGAGCACCAGCCCTGAAGTCAGGAGGACCTGAGTTCAAATCTGGCCTCAGACCAAACACTTGACACTTACTAGCTGTGTGACCCTGGGCAAGTCACTTAACCCCAACTGCCTTTTTTAAAAAAAAAGAACATCTATCCACCAAGCAGTGAGTGGATCGATATTTCATGTTCTTCAACTGATAACTTGAACTACTGTCAAGATTTAAGTAACTTATTTCAGGATTTGTCAGACAGCCTGCTAACAATCCAAACAGATATTAATAATGCTTACAACTCTCAACCTGAAAATGGACATGTAATGACGCTAGTTCAAAAGTGTCAAATTCATATAACAAAAGCTGACATCAACTAAGCAATATTTAGATATAAATTTTCTTCTAAATACATGATTCTTAGGTTTCAAAACTTCAAGAAGTTTCAGGGTTCATCCCAAATAAAAATCTCAAGGGCACTTTCACTTTCAAATTTTCTCACATGGAGTGAAAAAGAACACATATCTAAAATGAAGGAGTTGGACTGGCACTTTCCACCACAGTTCTTTCCACTTTACTCATAAAAATCAGATCATTTTAGAGCTAGTATGGAAGGAGTGAGGACGAGCATTGAGAATGGAAAGTAAAAGGAAAACAAGAGAGAGGAAGAAACAATGCAGGGCGCCTAGTGCCTTTACAGGAAGTTGATATGACAGTAAATGATTACAGAGGACCCCCCCTCCCCGCCAAATGTCTCTGAAATTCCTTGGTCTCTAGGAATTTCTGTTTAGCCTAATAATAGATAGATATTTCCAGATCCGACTGATCTCTAGAAGTATTATTCACTTTTTAGGATCTCAGATTTAGAGCTAGAAGGGATCTTACAGGTCACCTGATTCAAAACTCTAATTTAACAGATGAGGAAACTGAATACCAAAAGGTTGTGTTTCACTCAAGACACATACGGAGTAAGAATTGTTATTTTTGACAGTTGGTCCTCAGATTCCCTTTGTTTAATTATTTACATTTCTTTCTAAATGTGGGCCTAAGGGAACAAAACAAAGGAAAGGGGGAGGAAAGGGATAAAGCCCAAGAATGTGTAACTATTGTTGTGGAGTTGTTTTTCAGTTGTGTCTGATTCTTCATGACCCCTTTGGGCTTTTCTCGGCAACGACAATAGAGTGGTTTGCCATTTTCTTCTCAAATTCATTTTACAGATGAGGAAACTGAGGCAAACAGAGTTAAATGACTTGTCCAGGGTCATGCAATTGATAAGTGTCAGAGGCTGGATTCGAATGTTTTATATAAATAGAAACAGGTAACAGATTCCGATTTTAGTTGTTCAACAATCAAATCCAGTTAAAATTCATAAAAAGGACTACGGAAGATAATGTATTAATATAAGCAAAAGGTTAATTCTTGAATGGTTTCACAATTTAATGATGCTAAGAAGATAACTATAAAGACTTAACCATCTCAACTTGAGAGTAAGACTTTATGTGATGGCTACTTATGTTGGATTCAGCTTTCAATTATAAAACAAGTATCTGAGGATATTCCTCCTATTTGACTATTATTTCTCATACCCATCGTGGAGATTTTTTCCTTTAATTTTAGTTCTATCCTGACACTCATCACCTAGCTGTCAACTGAAAAAAGAGTGAGTGGCAAGGTAGATAATCTGCTTTTTACTCAAAGATCCTAAAACTGATGCAGGAGCACAAAATGTCACACTCAAAGTCTTTCAGAAAATATGTTAGTGCCAGCACAATTCATATTGGCAAAAAACCCTTAACAGTATCATAGCTATAGGGATGATCCATATATTGTTAGAAAGAAATATTTCTAATTAATATATACTGTTATAGAGCAACATCTACTTATTAAGAAAGAAGGTATAAAACATTTATGAGAAGGTGAGTAAAATACAAAGTAAGTATGGAAAAGGTTAACCCTTGAGGAGAGAGGTTATAAGAAGAAAAAAGAAAAAAGAGAAAATAAATTCCAGGTGTAGGGAGAAGAATGAAAACTAAGAATCAGTCTAATTGTTTAAATGTACTGAGCCAAAAGAAATCATTTACCTCATTCTCAGTTCCCACATCGAGGGTGACAGGCAGACACTCTTGAGGATTCACCCCTCCACAGGCAGTATATAATGCCAGTTTGCCAACAGGAATGCCCATTCCATTGCAGCCAAGATCACCCAAACCAAGGATCCGTTCTCCATCAGTCACCACAACAGCCTAGAGTGAAAAAGAAATCTACTGCTATAAATAACTATTTGGAAAGCCTAATACATATCATAGTTTCTGAACACACCTACAGAAGACATCTGGTGACTAAGAAGACCTTTAAAAAATAATCCTGATTATGATATTATGACAATTAAAAAAGAATAGAGAATGTGTATGAAAAGCTCTAAGAATGAGGGATCAACTTCTAAGAGATGGAAAAATAGAAAGAGGAAGGATGAGTATAGGGAAAAATAGTAAAAAAAAGTAGGAAACTCAGGAACTAAAATTAAAACATGAGACTTTCTTTTAAGCTGATATGATTTCAGGGGTAGCAAGAAGACATCTGTAGTTCTTCAAAGACTTCCCAAAATACTGGCACTCAACTATAAGAATTAGTGGCTCAATTATCTAAAGTTTACCTTATCTTTTCAATTGATTAACTTTTCTATTTTTTAACCATCACCAAATAGTTTTGGCAACTGCTGCTTTTTTTTTTTTTGAAATCTGATATAAGTTGGTCTCCTTTACTCCTGCTTCTTTTTTTTCATTATTTGCCTTGAGATTCTCAACTCTTTGTTTCTACAGACTAATTCTATTATTATTTTATCTACGTCTGTACAATAACCCCAGGGTAGTTTGATTGGTATGGTACTAAAAAACACCTCTGAAGATAATCTATACAGTATCATCACTTTTATCATACTGGCACGGTTCAACAATGAACACATCTTCAATTATTTAAGTTTTTGTTCATTCTTATAAAATTATTTTGGTTATATTAATTCCTGAGTATGTCTGGTAAATGAACTCAATAATTTACAGGTATTTAAATTTTTTAAAAAATATGTTCCTGTTATATTTTCTTAGTAGCATACAAAAATACCTGATGGTTCTGTGGACTTATTTTATATATGTTGCTATCTTACTAAAGTTATCATTATTTCAATTAATACAGTGAATCTGTAGAGTTCTCTAAATACATCATTATATCATCTGTAAGTAACAATAATTTGGTTTTCCCTTAGAACCACAGTATAAAATGAGTGTTCTGGCTCTACTCTCTAATACTCAAGCCTGACATATTTCAGGGTTTCAGGGTACTATGAGGGGTTTATTGCCATTGGATCAAGTTCAACCATCATTAACCATGGTGACATCTACTTTACTCATTTTAGCCAGATCTTTTTTAAACCAAAAAACCCCACTATTTTTACTATTGCCTTGTTCGAAATCATGATTGCTCTCCTTCACCTACTTTTTTATATTAGCCTAAGATATATAACTGCTTTTACTAAGTGCCTCACTTAACTCTGTGTCAATCTTTACATTTCAAAGTGTTTGTTTGTTTGCTGTAAACTACTGATAGGAAAGTTAATTTTATTACTGCTAAATCAAATATAATGATTTATTCTTTGATTCACTTTTTAGGATTAAATTACTTCCAATTTTTAATCTTTGCTTCAACCCTTTATTGAATGTTACTTTTGTTGCATTATGGTCACTGAAAGATGCATTCAATATTTTTTACTTATTACATAATTATTATATTACATAAATAGTATATAATTATATAATTAATAGAATATTTAATAACAATAAAAAACGGGAGTTTTTTCACCATTTGTTTGTGAGGTGCTTATACCTTAATAAATGATGAAATTTTTGAAGGTGCCATACACACCTGAGAAATATTTTCCACAGACCTATCATATCTAACTTTTCCAAAATTCTATTCAGGTCCTTCATTTCTTTTTTGTTGTTGGTACTTAGATTTATTTAGGTCTGAGGGGTAAATTCAGGTCTACTGCTTTCCTATAACTCATTTAATATTTCCTTTAAGAATTTATATGCTATGTCATTTGGTGCATATATGTTTAATACTTATATTAATTTGATGTCCATGGAGCCTTTCAGACAAATGTAGTTTCCCTGTTTATCTCTTTTAATTAGGTCTATTTTTGCTGTCACTTCACCTCAAACCATGATTGTTACACCTACCTTTTGAACTTCAGCTTTAACACAAGAGATTCTGCTCCAGCCCCTTATTTTAACTCTATGTAGCTTTCTGTTTAAAGATCCATTTTCCCTTGTAGGATTATAATCAGTTTTGTTAAGGAAGTTATTCTTGGTTGTAAGCCTAGATAGGTTGCCTTCTGGAATATTACATTCCAAGCTCTACATCCCTTTACAGTGGCAACTGGCAAAACACGCATGATCCCGACTATGGCTCCTTAGTATTTTAATTGTTTCTAGCTGTTTGGAATATTGTCCTTTGATGTGAGAGCTTTGGATTTTGACTACAATATTCCTTGGAGTGTTCACTTTAGGGTTTCTTTCCAAAGGTGAACACTAGATTCTTTCAATTTCTACTTTGCCCTCATAGACACCTGGGTAGTGTTCTTTCATGATTTCTTTGATTATGATGTCTAGGTTTTTTGGTCCCTAATGGCTTTTAGGAACCACAATGATTATAAAATTATTTCTTGTTGAACTGTTTTCCAGGCCAGTTGTTTTTGTTAAGAGATATATCATATTTTCTTCTATTTTTCAGGCCTTTAAATTTGCTTTAATATTTCTCAATATCTCATGGCACTTCTATTGGTCAATTTAATTCTAATACTCAGGGAGTTATTTTCTTGTGCAAGGTTTTGTACCTCTTTTTCTAAGCTGCTAATTTTCTTTTCATATCATTCTTATATAGCTTTCATTTGGCTTTTAAAGTAATTTTAGCTTCTAAAAAAAACAGCTAGCTTTAACTCTTCTAGGAATTCTAGTTGCAATTATGTCCAAACTGCATTTTCTTTGAGACCTGCATGTAGATATTTTCAAGTCATTCTCTTCCTCTAGTCTGTGTCTTTATCTTCCCTATCACCATAACAGCTATTCATATTTGGATTATATTTTTTTGTTTGCGGATTCTTCCAGCCTACTTCTTGACTTCAGATTTTATGTTAGTATTGGGCTCTACGCCCTTCTGGGGGGAATTTTTGACCTAAGTTTCTGTCCTTTTACATCCTTTTCCTCCTTTCACAGCTCAGGTGAGGGGGTGTACAAGCTTTCAATGTTCTCAGAGTGATGTGATTCTGGGAGAAGTATGCTCACTGCTATCTTGGTCTGAACTCTACAAGTTCCTGACCCAGGTTTGGCCTGTCACTTGATTTTGAATTAGGAGTTTAGTAGGTTGTTGCTGCATTCAGCCACTATTAGCCCACTGGGAGGCTCTGTAGGATCAAAGCAACTGAAAATGCAGGCTCCCCTTTGGTCTGGGATCCCTATCCTAATTATTCCACTGCAATCTTAAGTTCTAGGTCAATGGCTAGAACTGAGTCTTAGCTCTGCTCATGGGCTAAGAGTCACAGATCTACCATTTGCTCCTAAACTTGTTACTTGTTCAGTGTAGGTCTGGAGCCCTGCTGGACACCACTCCTCTCCACTGTAGATCAGGGAGAATAGGTTGGATCAATATGAGGCAGAAGTTACCTTTCCTCCTCCTCTGTGTAGCAAGAGATGGAAGGTGTGAGACAGAAAGAAGGTGACACCTTATCTCTCTCTTTACCCTGGAGGCTGGAGAGCAAATTGGTGGAGCAGAAAGTGGAAGTCTGGTCTCATGGGGAAACAGAAGATGGAAGCTGTGTAGTCATATGGAAGTTTATGTCTTAGCTCTGACCTTCTTACTTATCTCTCTATCTGGATCCCTGTATTCCATTCAAAAATTGCCTTTGCCTAACTGTACGCCTCAACTTGCTGTACTTTTTCTCCACTTAGTAGACATCCTCTCAAAGTCTCCTTTTCATTTGATGCCTCTGATGTATAATTTCCCTTCCCTCCAATAAGCTTTAATTAAGCATCTACTATGTACAAGGTACTACGCTAGATGTGGAGACTAAAAAGACAAAATGAAAAATAGCTCCTGCCCTCAATGAGTTTATATTCTACTATACGAACAAGAGGGAAGGCTCAGTAGCAATAAAACACCTCATTAACAATTTTCTTGGACAAGTTTAGATTTACAAGCAAAATTCAAAAAGAAAATATAAATCTGAAAATATTATCTGCCTTCGTTGGAAAGGAATATGATAGTACAGTCAATGTTTCATGAAATCTTACAGAGAAAACAAAAAACAACATTTACCACAGGAAAGGCATTATCCTACCTTGACAACATCTTCAGGCCATGACTTAAGCAATGTAGCAATGTGACCTCGGTCGTGGATACTGATAAAGAGACCTCTATTTAAAAAAAAAAAGTAGGTAGTTTTCATATAAATTGGGAAAAAAATTAGAATGGTAGTCACATTTCAGTGAAACATTATGTATTTTTACTGTACTTCAAACATTCATTAATCCATCTATGTAGGTACTATCCTCTACTGATGTGGACTACTATAAACAAAGCAACAAAAAATCATAACCCAGTAGCCAAACTTCTATGAACTAAGCTAGTCTGGTCCTAAGAGAGCTGACATGTATTATGTTTTAATGGTAGGAACTATAAGAATTTACACTCCACACATACAGCTTCTTTTTAAGGAATGAAGAGTATCTCCACACCATTGAGTTATCAGTATAGAGATCTTTCTTAACAATTTAAACCAGATAAAGAATTTGTTTTACTGTATAAAATCACATTATCACTACTACATTTAGCTAATTACACAATGAAGTTTGTCAGCTGCTAAACCTATAATCATCAGAGGAACATCTGTAAAATCACATATTTTTTATGAATACAAGTGTTTGTTAGCACGTGTGAAGTTAATTTGCTTGCTTGACCAACATTGAAGCACTGACCATGTAAACACGGGAAATCTGTTATAAAGTCTACATTGAAAGGCACAGTGTGACATTGGATAGAGAGGGAGCCTCCGAATTAGGACCTGGATTCAAGTCCAATCACTGACACTATAGCAGTGTAACCCTATTCAAATTAATTTTGGGTAACTAGAGGGCATAGTGTATAGAGCTCTGGACTTGGGAGTCTGGAAGATCTAAGTTCAAATCTGATCTCAGATACTTTTTCAGCTATGAAACCTTAGGCAAGTCACTTAATGTCAGCCTCAGTTTTCTCATTCACAAAATGGGGATAATAATACACCTACTCCCAAGGTTACTTTGAGAATAAAATGAGATAACATTTGTAAAATGCTCTGCAAACCTTAAAGCGTTATAAAGCTAGCTATGATGATGATGATGATGACGATAATTTTTTACTTTGGCTCACTCCAAACTTTCAGTCTTCAGAGACCATATTATTAAATGATTCAAAGCCATATAGCATCACTGAAGATGACTAATTTTAAGCAGTGTTTATTTCAGAAAAAGGTTAACAGGACAGTCTTTATGGTACAACTTTGTTTAAAAAAACAGTTTTGTGGTTAATAAGATAACAGGCACAGAGCAGTTTTTATTATATTCCCTTCACCTTTCAGCGTGACTGAAGAAAATGGCATATAATAAAGAATATTTGTAAAAGCCTATCCTTGAAGCATGTGTATATTATTCTCATAAAGATTTTCTAGATACTAGTTAGTGGTTTCTAGGCTCTTTTGGTCTCCTCAATTTACAACAATTAAAATTTCTCAAAGAATGCTGATATTCTGTGTCATTTATAAACTTACTCATTTCCAATTTTGTGGTATTAACAGCTTGTTTAAATATGTCAAGTTCAAGTTGCCTTCATTATGCACTATACCTTCTCATTCTAATTTTTCTTTCCCTATTTTGTCACTGATTGTTATTTTTCATGTTACCAAGTTAATGATATGACTATATATCAATACCTGATTCAAAATGATTCCCATATAAGTAACTAACACTTTCCTGTCTGGCAAGACATAATCAGTATCTTTTATATGATGCTATTTGTTACTTATCCTGGCCAAAGCCTCCTAAATCTCTTCTCAAAGAAATAGTCATGATATATAGGCATGTAACTTCTGCATAGGAAGTATACAAGGTTTTAGCTTCTCTCACTTAGTATTCCTTAAGCATATTTTCTAAAATATTATTCATCATCCCCCCTTTTGTGTTGAAATCAATCAGTATTAAATTATGTGTCAACTTAATTTGGAGAATGTTATTAAATTTTTCACAGAATTTCTCGATGTCTTAATCCTCTGTAACAGATGGTGGAGAATTTGCAAAAACTTATCAGCATTACAATATAAGCGTTCCATGAAATAAAAGCAATTCTGCCTAATTCTTTCACTAAGGAGTACCAATGACCCATCCATCCTATTTAGCTGCAATTTCTATGTCTTTTAGTTTCATTTCTACTATAAATGATTATTTTATATTTTACTATTCATGCTTTCCCTTTCACTTTATACTATATTATTTGTTTATACGATAAATGAAATCATAAGACAAGAGACATTACAGCTAAATGGGATAGTACATATTTGCACTATAATACAGGGACTGGAAAGATTGATATGATTTAATTCTTCCAGTACTATATCCCATCATTGGTCATTATATAAGGATTTCACATTTAGAGCAGCAGAATCAACACAAGTAGAAATGGATCCCTGCAGGCTACATATTGAACTAGTATACCATAAATTAACATTATCTATGTTTTATTGTATTTTTATTTATTTTGTTAAATATTTCCTGATTATATTTTATTTTGGTTCATAAAGAGTTTTCTGAGCTGCCATATTCACGCCTCTGTAGATCTCCTGTCTAGAATTAGAGTATTCAAGTTCTGTTATCAATTTTGCTCAATGGATATTGGGCAAGTTACTTGAACTCACTCAATATGAAAACTGAAAAGAATAAAGCACTATGTACAAATAAAATAGTATTAACTTAAAGTATAATTTATTACTTATTTATTTTGATAATTTGAAGAAAGTTACTACAGGTAGCTGAAATGATAGCCAAACAATAAGTAATCATCTTTGTAAAACTTTCACTTAAAGATTGGGGGCTTTAATTTCTCTCTATAGTTCCAAACTGGCTTGAAACCTTTTTTCATAAAGAATCCTCCAATTATAGCATGACAGGCTGAGACTTATTCCATTCAATTCTTCTGAGTTGTTTTTAATTGCTCAGAAGAAAAATGATCTCAAAATATATTTTCAACCTTTAGTTGATGGCTGAAAATTTTTAACAAGAGACATTTCCAAAAAAGAAAATTATCTGCTGATTTAACAGACTAGACATATCTAGTTGATGAGCAAAATCCACTGTAGCTTAATTTTTTTTGGTCATATTTGTGGATTGAACACTGGATGTTAATATTTTCCACCTTAGTGCAAGAAAAAGGAGGCCTCCTTAATTAGTTGTTTTCAGAAGCACAGGGAAAAAAACACCAAAGATAGACTTCAAAGGTCTTTTTCAAAATAAACAAGTCTGATTCATTTACATGCAACTCTCAATAGCATGTGAATTCAATTTCTCCGGAAACCCATATGGGCTTAATAATTGGTCAAGAAGTGTTTGAGAAAAATCTATTGTGGAATTTCCTGTAATACAAGGACTTTCTACATGTGAGTCATTATTCTGTACATATAGTATTTAATGGTTAGTTGGAAGGGCTCATAAACTAATGATGGGGGATAGGGTTCACCCTGGACTCCTAAAAGAAAAGGACCTGGTGGTCTAGTGGTTAGGATTTGATGCTTTCACCGCCATAGCCTGGGTTCGATTCCCTGTCAGGGAACCATAAGTTGTGGTCTAGGGGTGCTGAAAACCTCAAAATTCAAGGGCAAAAAAAGCACAGGTCTGCTTGAAAGAATTTGACTCAATCTTTCTTTCAGTCAGAGACAAGGTTTATTGTGTCATCAATGGAAGTGGGAGGGATTTTAGGAATCTGCACATTTGTGATACCAATATAAGCAGGCCAGGCTCTTAAGGAATCTGACTGACTTTATGAGGGCAAGATGTGTACTTTTGCATGGAGAGACTGTGGGAAGATCTGGATGTAATCAAGGAGTGGCCAATAGCTTGGGGTGATCTGAAGGTAACAGAGAAGGAGTCTAGATTGGATAAAGGAGTGGCAAATAGCCTAGGGTAGGGCCAGGTGCAGACAAAGAGGGCCACAATGAAAGGGCAGTTAAAAGAATTATTGACTGACATTGGCTGGGTGCTTAAGATGAATGCCAGAGATCTGGGTTCAGGGGCTTTGGAGTCCAGGTCCCAAAGACATGGTCCTTTCCTTTTAGGGGTCCTGTGCAAATCATACCCCCCATCATTATCACCATTCTTTGGTCTGCAGAAAGAACTGTATTTAGAATTATACAAATCTTAACTCTCTTCCGTCATTAAAAAGAAGACTTCATAAGTATCCCATTAATTAACATACATCCTAGGACTCTGGATAATAATAAAAATTAGTTCTCATTAACTGACATTTAGAATGATTTATTATCGACAATTTCAAAAGGACAACAAAAACTGCAAATGACTGGTCTTCTGTTAGGTTTTCACGAACCTAAGATGACTTCGATGTGCACATAAAATGAAGCATAAATCTGTATAAACTTTCTAAAAGCCTCTGTTCATTCAGGACAGGCTCAAATACATCCAACTGATAACAGGAGAACATACCAAGTCAAAAAATAAGAATACCATAATGCAAGAAGTAATATAAGAATATTCCCCATAACTACTGTACACAGAAAACAAGTATTAATCAAAAGAACCCATAAATCACCTCTAAGGGGGAGGGGGAACTGCAAAATCCAAGATGTGTAAAGGTTAAATTAAACATATCTATTGAGAAACAACAAATTCTATAAGAACCCAAAGAAAGACCTTCAATTTTAAGGGGAAGAAAATGTGAATAAGGCAAAACTATTCTGCAATCACCAGAAAGTCCTGGAGAGAATAGAACAACGTTTCCAAAGAATAAGAAGCTCAAGATGTAGCTCAAGATCATCTACCCTGCATATCTGAGCCTAACCATATATGAAAAGAGATATTCATTCAAAAGAAATATTTGAAACATTCTTAGAAAGAAAGAAGGCTGGAAAAGTTGCGGGGGAGGGATGCTGTGAAAAGTATTGTGTCCCAGTATAAACTACTGGTATGTCATGCTATAGATGGGGGAGGGTTACTCAAAATTTCTGAGCAGGGGAGTAATGTATTGAGACTGTTAATTTAGGGAGATCACTTTGTCAAGAGTAGGAAGGATGAATTAGAAAGGGAAAAGCCTAAAGGAAGGAAAACCTGTTTTAGGGAGCTGTTACAGTAGTTCAGCGAAGAAGTAATGAAGGCTTTAA